CTTCTTCTTCTTCTTCTTCTTCTTCTTCTTCTTCTTCTTCTTCTTCTTCTAGATTTAGCAACCAGACTTGAAGATGAGAAGCGAAAGTGGTCTTTCCCCCTAAGAGTTCTCTTTGTAGGCAACCTAAGATATAAAGATAGCTAAGGTAGACTTTTTGGAGTGTGTATCTCTTCTTGGACAGGATTTTCAGCTTCAAGATCTGTTCCTTTTAGCATCTTTCATTGTGATTGCAAAATACGTGGGATAATCTTACACACACACACACACACACACACACACACAGAGAGAGAGAGAGAGAGAGAGAGAGAGAGAGAGAGAGAGAGAGAGATTCTGTGTTCATAAATTCCGTATCATTGCATTCAGCCAGCTGTGGACAGGAAGTGTTAGAGACACATACAGACTTTCCGCTTAAACAACCGTTTAATAACTACACAGGGACATAAGCAAACCAGAGACAATTTAAAATGTAAGGGGAGGGTGTGTGTAGGCTATATGTAAATACAGCATCATTTTACATAAGGGGCTTGAGCATCTGCAGAGCTTGGTACCCACAGCACATCAGGACTCATGCTACATGTGTCGCCAGATACTAAGTCAGCTAGTACTTAGACGAGAACTGTGAGAAACAAATTTCTGCTTTTTACAAAGTACCCCGTCTGACACTACTTTGCACTATCCTGATGAGCTATATCTCTAGAAAACTTGGTTTTGTACAAGGAAAGGAGCTTTCTGGGAAGACACTATTTAATCTTCAGAGCCAAGATTAGTTCATATTATAGCTAACATGGATAAATAAGTGTTTGTTGAATGACTGACATACATCCTTATCCCAAAGGGAAAGTGCAATTCTAGAAATTTCTAGATGAGCAGAATGATGGGGGTATACTGGAGTTATGGGGATAACTTCTCAGAGCAGTCTTGCTTTTTTAGAATTCTTAGCTAGCCCTGCTTGTAGAGTCTCAGAAGGCTCCATTTGGTTCTCTCTGGCAGATATGAAGGGACTTGAAAATAGGAGAGGAAGCGGTGTGACTTAGCATGACAGGCCCAGACAGGTAAACTTCACAGCCATGATAATAGGTATGGGCTTTAGGGACTTGTAGCTTCTGTATTAGCTTGGCTGAAGGAGAGAGAAAGAGTATTCTGTAGCTTTCCTTCTGGGGACTCATTAGTGAAGGAAGATGTTGTGTGAGCCAGACAGGGCCAGCCTCTCTGAGAAGCAAGTTAATTGAGGTGGTTGGACAGACCATGAACATAAACAACTGGATGGCTTGGAGTAAAATGTCAGTAGATCTATTGGAGAGAGATATCATTGACAAGTATATTGCCCAGCCCAGCAAGTTGACCCTGGTGCCTTCCTCTAATAGATGGGAATGATAGCACATATGTCATATAGTGTTGTGAGGACTGGATGAGGCAGTGCATCTGGAAGCACTTGGTATATTGACTTTTACAGATGCTGGTTTATTCTATCTACCTTCTGTCAGATTCATGTCAAGAAAAACTAAAGATAAAACAGGTGGAGAAAAGATGAATGTCCTGATACCTGTTTACTCTCCATTATACAAAGTAGACAAATCAGTGTTTTAAGCAAAGAACCAGCACACATGATGGAGGTTAAAAAGAAAGAAACGTCAACATACCATTTAGGAGGCAGCAAAGGGTGTTGACATGTGGAGGAAGAAGGACATTTTGCCTTGAAGAAATTCCAAACAAGGGAGATGGTATAGGACAGAATGAAACCAGGGCATGAGTTGTGAGAAATCAACATCTGGCTCTTATGTGGGTGTAGTAGATGAGAGTGGAAAGGTAGGCTGGAGCAAGACTGCAGAAGCCTGCAAAGCAGGTGGAGACCTGATTTATCTGGAAAGCAGCAAAGGAAGGTCATCACCAACTCATGGTGGTACTGGAGGAAAATGAAACAGTAGTAAGGAGAGAAAGGATTCCAGAAAAGCACATCTCACTTCTCATCCAATTCAGTTATTTTAGGCCAGAGAGAAAGAAACTATGGGCATGCGTTGGGATTTCAGACTTACTTCTGTAAGGGAGTGTAGAATAAACTGCTTTCTGATAATGATCCAGGCACAGTTCCTGCAAATAGAAGTTCCTTCAAGCGCCAGGCCAGTTTGAACTGTGTACAATCCCAGGGCAGAACACGTCAGTTCTTTGCCAGTTCAGTTAAATGACTTCTCCCCCTAGGGAGATTGTATCATTTCTGGTAACACCTTGAGAAGGCTGAGAATGGAAACAGCATAATAATGAGGGTGAAGCTTCTTCCCGCTGTTCGTGGTAAAATGGTGTGTCTGTGGGCTCAGTATTATCCTGACACTGATTTCAGAATGAAAGGTTTTACAGATTAGGGATCATTATGCTAGCTGCATATAGCATATATTAAATATAAACATTTTTTGTCTGTGGTTTTAATGAGAGCATAGTATTTGTTCTATGCAGAACGTGTGGAACAGACGAAAGTGCTATGGTAAGATAACAATTAATGTTTCTCTTTATATCTCTCTGATCTAATGTTTTAAAATGATAAGCAACACACACATATACATATACACATACACATACACATACACACACACATATATATATATATATATATATATATGAGGAAGCAGTGTGACTTAGCATGACAGGCCCAGACAGGTAAACATATATATATGTGGGGTGTGTGTGTATATGTGTATATGTATATGGATATAGACTTGTAATTGTGTACATAGGAATCTAGTCATTTATATTTATATAGAATACATTTTTTATAAAATTATATAACTATTTTCCAGTCCTACCTGTTGGTGTGTACTAAGGCATGCATAGTTGTTTTTTTTTTTGTGAGTGTGTGCTCAATTTTGTTCCCTTTCAAGTAAATCATGCACAAATATTCCTTGCAGCAGGTATTCTGATATTCAGAAAAATTAAGTACCATGAAGAATCGTATATAAATTTTTCTGTAAACAATGCTTTCCTACATTGTATATGCATGTGAAATTTCTATGTAAGCTATTTCTTCATCTAATAAAGGTGGCCATTATTCAATGCTCTGCTGTAGTTAATACAGGAACTTTGGCACTTACTTCTTCATTTAGACTCCAGTTCTGCCCAAGTCTCTCAAATTATAGAAGACTTGCTTTCCTACATGTGAAATGGGTGTGTGTGCATCACACTGTAAACCTTAGACTCCCTAGGATGGACAGATTGGGTGCATCAATGGTTAAACAGCTCCAGGCACACACCCCAATCCCAACCATGCCATCCATGTGAAGGTTGGCTGCTATTAAAACAGATCTTTGCTTCCCACTGTGCCAGCTGTCTCTTTTCATATGACTGAACCTTAATCTCTTGGGTTTATTTCTTTTTCTCCAGCAAAGGTAATTTTATTTAAGATGTTAGCTAAATATAACGAAAGAAAGTTAATATCATTCCGGAGAGGAATTGGCACAGCTGTTACCCCCCTTCTGAGAGGGCTCATCCTCCCTGGAGGTAAATGAACAGTTGACTAGATGACAATGTTGGCAGAACTTTAGGAGTTTTAGCTGAAGGTGGGAGCAATACTGTTGATAGATTTTGCATGGGCAGGCATTAAACTATTTTTTTGGTGGGGAATTTTTGGCTCATTTGATTTCTGGTGTTGCTACAACTTGTGGCTGCATTACTGACACTTACAGCTCAAGTTCTGACATGTAGGGAGCATTGCTTTCTTGTTAATCAGTGTGCTTAACACAAGGGCTAATGATGTGATATGCAGCTCTACTGCAACTGTTAAGCCATATGGCACGTATTTGCTGTTATTTATAGCGAAGGCATTTATGCTTTGAGTTTTCTGAGCCCCCAAGCATCATAGGAAAGGATACTGTTTCAGCTTTGTATTCTAATCCAACTTTCTTAGGGGGAGTTTATTAAGTGTGGAATGGTATATGTGTGAAATCATTACTGGAATATACCTTGAATGAATATGCACCCTGTGTTTGTGACTATACAGAGTATAAGAAAAATGTACATAGGTGAAAATAAAGCTTTGCCACCATATTTCCCAAGAAACATCTGGGTTCTAACCAAGATTTTTATATTAAAAAATGCTGAGGGGCTGGAAATATGCCTTATAGTGGTTAAGAGCACTTGCTGGTCCTACAGAGGAGCCAGGCTTGGTTCCTAACATGTACAAGGTGGCTCAGAATCCAGTTTTAGGAGAATGTGAACCTTCTTCTGGCCTCTGGGAGGTACTGCATACACACGGTGACATATAAATGTAGGCAAGCACTTCTTCATCCACAGAACAAAAAAGATGATGAGAGTGATATTTGTTTGGCCTGTTTTCATAAATGGTTAAAAACAATAACAAGTACCACAACTCTGAATTTTTAGAAGCATCAGATTTTTAAAATCATACATAATCACAGCTGTATTAACAATAACGAGATCTGGTATGCAGCAAACTTTCTGTGTTCTTCATGCCATTGTCAGATCTGGTGTATCTGAGGCTAGTACCATGGAGGCAGTAAAAAAGACACTGTGAAGATAAATGGAAAGACATTTCAGCCATTGCTAGTGCTATATGGGCTGTGCTTCAGATAACACACACAGAAAAATCTACTGATAAATACATAAGTTGTCATTCTGAAAGATGATCAGACAAAAGGCTTATTTAGCTCCCCATTTCATAAACTTTTTATTAGAAATATTGCACGGGTAGGCCCTGGGTGTGTTCACACTGTACAATTGTCCACAATGGGTCCCCACTTGCTTGTCTCTACAGCAGACACTCTCAACGGAAGGATTAATTTGGTCATAAACTTTTACTCACAGGGGACTACTGGGAACCTCTAGGACAGTTTTGATTTCCTCAACTGATTGAAGAAGATAGTAACCTCTAGAATGCAGAGGCTAGGGTCTTGAACATATGTTCTATAATGGGCTAGACATTTTGACTTCTATCAACAAATAATTATCAAGTCACAAATGTTAATACTGTTATGTTGATAAGCCCAGCTCTAGAATAAGTTTGTAGAAAGGGCTGTTAGAGTAGGATGTGGGTCACAGGGTATTTTTCTATATGTATCATTTAGTATCTGTTCTAAATAGTTGCTACCCGGAGATTTAAATAATCTCTGAAGTATGCTCGTGTGTTAGCCCTCAGTGCATACTCCTATATCATGCTCTTGTCCAGACTAGGCATTTGCTGAGTGCTTTAAATATAATTTTTTATTAATTCTGCTCAATGACACTTAAAGCTGAAGAAAGAAATTTATATATTTCAGAAAACAGAAGAAAACTTCCAAACCTCTGCTTTTATGTGAGCACTTCTTGAATAGTTAGAATCAAATAAGTCAATGTGTTCTGTTTTTATCTGGGAGGTGGGAATCAAACTGTATTCTGTACCCAGGAAGGGACGAGGAAACTGATACTTTCTTAGTGATATTTCAAAGCCATAGATTTAAAAAAAATTGACAGAATTATTCTAAGCCTGGTTATGATGGAGAGAATGAGCTCGTTAATCATGCCCAGAGTGCTTCCTGCCATGCAACAGCATGAGAAATGGTATACATCACAGTATGTGGAAATTGTAACTTCTCCATTTTGGTCTGATATTTGTGTGGATGCGATATTGAGGGAATGCAATTCTGTGATATCTTCGAAGCTGATGTGTTAGCTTTGGCCAGCGTTTTCTTTCCTATGAGATGAATTTCCTCAGGGTTCAGGTGGTTACATGAAGCACCTTGTACATAGGCTCTGCTGCCCACCCTCTATCTTTATCTAAGAATTCAGTGGCTGGGTGTACTGATGGAAAGAGAGACAGACTTGACAGGCCTCACTGTAAAGTAAGATCATGAGCCTATAAATGTTTACTTTTCAATTTAATTTAGGTTATGTTTTAAGTATGTTGCACATATCAAGTTATTTATATGCTATGAGTACTTTTGTTTTAATGATCAAAGAAATTTAGGCACAGGGAGATAATGGCCTACTATTAAATAGGGCCAATCCTGGTTTTGAACCTCAAGTTCATGCCACTGTGCTATGCAACTCCTTTGAGCTAATGCATGGTAGGATAGCATGCTTGAATGCAGGCTTTGGAGATGTCTAAATATAGACCCACTAATTAATGGCAATGTATTTTAAAGCTTCAGTTTAAAAAAAACAAATTTTTTAAGAAATAGAAAAGTTGTAACATCAGTGTTGTTATTAAAACTGTTGACTTTTATCATCTGTGGCTGTTACAATCTATAAAGTCACTTTGAATGCTGAATTAGGAAAGACTGAACTATTGGTTGGATGAGAAATACAAAGTATGGTTCTTTGAGGTAGTGCCTACCACCTCTTCATCCAACTAATCAGCTAATAATCCAACTAGTTGATGAACTAACCAATACATAACCTTATTCCATGCATTTCTATTTAAAGTAACCTTCTTGCCTGTATTATTAATTCTTTGACATTGGGCTCATGGTCAATAGCTCAGACCTGGCAGAAGCTTTTCCATAAGTCTAGGACATCCTTCTTATGACTGTGACACTAGGAATTCAACCCTATTTTTGTACTCCTCTCATCAGGAAAAACATCAAAAAAGGTCCTGAAAGTGCAGATCACAGGGTGCTTGTTTCTGTGAAGGCTGAGATAATAAGGGATGTTTGGCATGAGGCCTTGTTGGCCTGGGCTGTGGAGTTTTATGTTAGATTGCTTGAGTCTTTCCTTATTCTGTGCCTTAGAATGACTATAAATATTTCAAAGACTGACCCTAGAGTCATATATAAGCATACGAAGTTGATGGCTTCTCACATATAGAATACAAGAATGACTGAAATTAGCCCTGTGTATTCACAGATCTGTAAGAATATGTTGTGTATTGTAACCATGCAGGAAGCTTTGATTAGTGGCAGTGATTCTTGATATTCTAAGTACAGTTTTTTACTCTAAATTTTATTTTGATATATTTAAAAATACATCTTTAAAACTTAAAGCTGAAATTTAACAAGTCTATTTTTGTGGGGAAACCTTTTTCTTTAACCGAATATACTGATATAAGTTAGTGGTACATTAGAGACATACTTGAATATTTGACAGGGAATATCTGATGCTTTAGGCTTGGACTGTCTGTCGTTTAGATTTAACACATATCAGCAGTTTTCTACATTAATACGTGAGCTCTGGTACAAATGCCAATAAAAAGAATGTCAACAATCAGATTCCTTGTCCTTTAAGTAATTCTCTGCTGACTTCCTGTGGACAGAGAAAGTTCTGATCCAGAGGGAGTGGGTACTAGAAGCAGTTTATGTATAATCTAAGCTTTACCTCCTTACCTCTTTATCTCAGAATGTAACCAGGCAGTCAGTGGCTAGAAAGAACATATTTTGGAGAGTGTGCTAGGGACTGAGGGAAGAGCCTGGGAAGCTCATGTTTCCTGGTATGAGAGACTCCCTGCCTCATGTTCTTAGTTTTAGGTACTTAGTTACTTTCCAGACCCCCATTGTTTAT